CTTAATTAAAACAAATCAAATCGTATCAAAACATAATTATATGAAATTAAATTAAGTCAAATTATAGTGAGTTTAGCAATTGGTGGAATAATGGGGTTTTACTTTGTGTGCGTATCCTATCAGTTCACGATCAACTGCGGCTGCATTTCGCCGAAAGTGGGCCGAGAGCTCAAAATTAATTTATAATTAAATTGCAATTAAATTCAAATTCAATCAATGTTAAACTTTAATTAAATTTAAACTTATTTTTAAAACATTAACCCAATGTAATAAAATTAAAAATTAAACTTAATTAAAACAAATCAAATCGTATCACAACATAATTATATGAAATTAAATTAAGTCAAATTATAGTGAATTTAACAATTGGTGGAATAATCGGGTTTTACTTTGTGTGCGCATCGTATCACTTCACGATCGCTCGCGGCTGCATTTCGCCGAAAGTGGACCGAGAGCTTAAAATTAATTTATAATTAAATTGCAATTCAATTCCAATTCAATAACTATTAAACTTAAATTAAATTGAAACTAAATTAAACTTTTTGTAATTTTTAAAAAATTAACTTAACGTAATAAAATCAAAAATTAATCTTAATTAAAACAAATCAAATCTTATCAAAACATAATTATATGAAATTAAATTGAGTCAAATTATAGTGAATTTAGCTATTGGTGGAATAATCGGGTTTTACTTTGTGTACGCATCGTGTCAGTTTACGATCAACTGCGGCTGCATCTCGCCGAAAGTGGACCGAGAGCTTAAAATTAATTTATAATTAAATTGCGATTAAATTCAAATTCAATTACTGTTAAACTTAAATTAAATTGAAACTAAATTAAACTTTTGGTAATTTTTAAAAAATTAACCCAACGTAATAAAATCAAAAATTAATCTTAATTAAAACAAATCAAATCGTATCAAAACATAATTATATGAAATTAAATTGAGTCAAATTATAGTGAATTTAGCAATTGGTGGAATAATCGGGTTTTACTTTGTGTGCGCATCGTGTCAGTTCACGATCAACTGCGGCTGCATTTCGCCGAAAGTGGACCGAGAGGCCGCGGTCGCCTGCCTACAGTCGCTGGACCCGGTGACTCTGGTCACTCAACTGGACAGTGTGACAGAGGCCTACGCCCGACGGCGTCGTCTGCTCATTGAGTCGTGCATTCTACCGTCGTTGGGCGTGCAAAAGGTGGGACGCAGCCTGCCCTCGTATGTGGGCGGCGCGAGAGTCTACCTGTCGGTACCGATGCGACCCACTTTGGACGGCCACTTCATGCCGGGCCCAGTGGCTCGACTGTTCGAGGCCGGCAGCAGTGGCTATCTGAAAAGGGCGCCGCAACTGCTGGCCGGACTGAACAAAAACGAGGGAATGTTCTTTCTGCTCTACGGACTGGGCATCAACGACACGTACCTGGTGCAACCGGACGGCCAAGTCATCCTGCCGGAGGCGTTGAAGACGGCCGCATGGGCGCAGTACACGCGCAGTCAGCAGGCGGAAAAGGTGGCCGATTTCGCATGGTTGATCGCGGCACACATTCTGCCCGACGTCTGTCTCAGACTGCCGGCCCTCTTCGGCCTGCCGCTCTACCAGTACGCGCTGCCCAGTCGCGTCTTCTCGCGACGACAGCGCACCAAGTTCGGCCAACTGGCCGACATCAAAGTGAGATATCATACTCCCCACCATCAAGCTTCACCTTCTCCTCCTCCTCCTCCTCCACCTCACTCTTTTCCTCCTCCTCTTCCTCTTCCTCCTCTTCCTCCTCATCC